CAGAGGTAGAACAATCTTAAAATTTGTATGAAACCACAAAAGAACCCCCAAATAGCCAAAGCAATCCTAAAAAGAAAAACAAAGCTGGAGATACCATGATTCTGGACTTCAAGCTATATTACAAAGTTGTATTGATCAAGACAGTATGGTACTGGCACAAATACAGACATATAGATCAATGGAACAGAATAGAAAAACCAGAAATGGACCCACAACCATATGGTCAACTAATCTTTGATGAAGCAGGAAAGAATATCCAATGGAAAAAAGTCTCTTTAGCAAATGGTGCTGGGAGAATTAAACAACAGCATGCAGAAGAATGAAACTGGACCACTTTCTTACACCATACACAAAGATAAACTCAAAATGGATGAAATACCTAAATGTGAGACAGGAAACCATCAAAATCCTAGAGGAGAACACTGGCAGCAACCTCTTTGACCTTGGCCACAGCAACTTCTTACTATACATGTCACTGGATGCAAGGGAAATAGAAAACGAACTATTTGGACTTAAGATAAAAAGTTTCTGCATAGTGAAGGAAACAATCAAGAAAACTAAAAGGCAACCTTTAGAATGGGAGAAGATATTTGTAAGGGACATGTCTGATAAAGGATTAATATCCAAAATCTATAAAGAACTTACCAAACTTAACACCCTCCCCAAAGAAATAACCCAGCTAAAAAATGGGAGGACATAAATAAACATTTTCCCAAAAAAGACATACAGATGGCTAATAGACACATGAAAAGATGTGTGACATCACTAATCATCAGAGAAATACAAATCAAAACTACAGAGAAATATCTCCTCACACCTGTCAGAATGGCTAAAATTAACAACATAGGAAACCAGCAGGTGTTGGCCAGGATGAGGAGTAAGGGAAACCCTCTCACTGTTGGTGGGAACGCAAACTGGTGCAGCCACTCTGGAAAACAGTATAGAGGTTTGTCAAAAAGATAAAAATAGAACTACCCTTATGATCCAGCAATTGCACTACTGGGTGTTTACCCAAAGGATACAAAAATACTGATTTGAAGAAATACATACACCCTGATGTTTATAGTAACTTCATCAACAATAGTCAAACTATGGAGAGAGCCCAAATGCCGAATGACTGGTGAATGGATAAAGAAGATATGGTGTGTGTGTATATATATGTGTATATGCACACACACAATGGATAATTACTCAGCCATAAGAAGAATGAAATATTACCATTTGTATGGATGTGGATTGAGTTAGAGAGTATTATGCTAAGCGAAATAAGGCAGAGAAAGACAAATACTTAGGATTTCACTCATAAGTGGAATTTAAGAAACAAAACAGATGAACATAGTGGGGAAAAGAGAGAGGCAAACCAGAAAACAGACTCTCAACTGTGGAGAACAAACAGAGTTACTGGAGGGGAGGTGGTTGTGAGGGATGGGTTAAATGGGTGATGGGCATTAATAAGGGCACTTGTGATGAGCATTGGGTGTTATATGTAAGTGATGAACAGCTAAATTCTACATGTGAAACTAATATTACACTGTACATTAAGTAACTGGAATTTAAATTAAAACTTGAAAAAATAAAAATAAAAACAACTCATTTCCTATAGAATACTTAGGATTATGACAGATGCCCTGAAATAAAAAGAGATGAACAATAAGATGCTACGACTTCTAAAAATTTGAATTAAGCTTCTGCTATGTTCCTCACAAAATGGTGCCCAAGTTATATTTGATATTTTGTCCAAATTCAATTTTCCAATAGTTTTCTATTTTTTTAAGTTTCTTTATTATTTATTTTGAGAGAGAGAGAGAGAGAGAGAGAGAGAGAGAGAGAGAGAGAGAGAGACAATCCCAAGCAGGCTCTTCACTGTGAGCACAAAGCTCCAAGAGGGGCTGTATCTCATCAACAGTGAGATAGTGACCCGAGCTACCCAGGTGCTCCCAACAGCTTCCTAAACAGTATTCCCCGCCCCCACCCGCCCCGGACGGAGTATATGTAAGGAAAGGGAGAAAAGCATTAATGGGGAAAAATGGCAGGTAATTGTAATTTCCTGATTTTACACACACGTGGGCACACACCCACACCCCTATTTTAAGAGGAAATTTCTAAAATAACAGAGAGGTTCATGTTGAAAATGGCGGAGGCAGCTGGGTGCCAGATTTTGGGGCTGCTAGGGGGGTCCTGGGCATAGTTGAACGGGTCCAGGTGGAGTGGCAACCACAGTGATGAGGGTTCAGCTCGCCTGTGGAATGCCTTCACCTACTTTGTAGTGCTTTCCGGCATGGGATTGATAGTGCTGAACATCTTCCTGAAGTCACACCATGAGAGCACAAAAGAGCAGAGTTCTTTGTCACCTACTCCCATCTCTGCATCAGGTCCAAGCCCTTTACATGGGGAGATGGTAATTATACTCTATTTCATAACACTCACGTGAATCCACTTCTGACTGGCTATGAAGATGAATAAAGAGAACTTGGACCACTACCCAGTGGGGACCACAGCACTGGTCTGGACCATGACTCTGCACAGGGAGGAGAAAAGTATATGGGACCTTAAACTCAACTTCCTTACTTGTGTTGAATGATGACCAGTATACTGATATTCCATCCCTTTGCTTTAGGAGGAGATAACTTAAATAAATAGACTGGACCATGAAAAAACAAACAAAAACAGAAAAAAGGAAACAAATCACTACAGGAACAAATTCAGAAACAGGAATGTTTTATCTAGAAAAACTCTCCTGCTTTTTGAGATGAATTTTCTATTCATAATTTTCAGTTTGTTCAACATTCTTTTGTGTTTAAATAATATAAAATTAAGCAGTCTGGCCAGGGGGTATGGTTCACTCTTTCTCTAAATCTGTGTACCAGAAAAACAAAGCAGACTTGAATACATTATCCTCCCTGGTCTCAGAATATAATCCCCAACACCTGAAAGTGTGAATTATTGAGAAATGCTATTCCACTATGATAGGAACTGCTGGGGGATGGTTGTGTGGGTCTGGAGTAGTCCGTGGTGCTGCAGCCTGTCCTTGGCACCAAAAAAGAGAGAAACCATAGTGTAAAACCTAAATTGGGCCAAAACTCCAACTAATGCCTGTTCATCAGTGCCAGTAGCTGATGAGTATGGGTTTTAGTCTTAAAAAATTTCCTTTTGGGGTCTGCTTCTTTGTGTCTTGTCCTTTCAGATTGGTAAGTTTCCTACATTCATCTTTCTAGTATGTTTACCCTTCCTTGTGCTTGCGACATAGCATCATAAATATGTAACATTATAATGCTATGTAATATTAGTTTATTATAAAAAACATTATAGTACATATTATATATAATGTGAGTATATAGATATAAACATATTATAGATAAATAATTACAAGATGGTGGCCAATTTGGCTGATGCTTCTGGTCACACCCACTCTCCCTCTTCTTGGTAGTTATTAAACACAAGGGCTTTGACAACTCCAAGATTTCTAATTAAGGCACACCAGCATTCTAATTTTCCCTCCTTTAGTTCCCTACCTGCAGGCATCACACTAATTTAACAACTGCTCTCAATTTAACAACCCCTCTGACAGGATGAAAACCTGATCCTGAACAGGATATGTCGGAATTCATGTGAACCAGATACTCACCTCACCCCCAAGCAGTTTTTTGCTTTTCAGTGACTGTCAAAGAAAGAAAGCTAGAGCACCTGTTTCTTCCCTTTTTACTACTATTCTCATAATTCTTAGACAAAATGAAATTTAAAATTCCTGGGTTGTATTTGGATTTAAGCAAATGATAGTTTGTTTCTGGATTGAGCATGATTAACTTTCTCTATGAAAGATTTGTTTCCTATTGAGGTAATAGGAACATGTGAAAAAATTTTAGATATGGCTAACTTGAGGCTTTACAGAAAATTGAAATAATATTAGAATAAGTACTAAATTAAAAGGGTTAGGCATTGGAGACCTAGATATTTGGTTTACCTTACCCTCTCTCTACCTCTCTCTCATGGACCTTAAATAAGTCAACTCACCTAAAAACCTAAAGGTATCCTTAAGAAATTCACAATGTATGTGAATGCAGTAAAGGTATAGTAGAGCTTTATCAATGTAAGGTATTATTGTGTCTGTTACTCCTATTCGTCATTATTACTACCACCATCACAAAAAATAGTGTGTAACTTCAACCTCCCTGTGCTAAAATATTAGAGCATATATCCATATGCCCTCAAGAGCCAGAAGTTTTTGCTATGAAAATTCTCATGTGCAACTTTTAATCCTCTCAAATAATTTAATCTTTTTTCTTTACGAATACATTTTTCATTAAGTTTTCAAGTAGAGAATAGGTGTATTGTTTTTCACTTTCAAGCATTTGGCCTTCCAGACCACTTATAAGCTGAACAAGATATAATATTAGAAGTAGGAAATACTTTAGTTGAAAGAATTGAGCATCTCTACTGGATTTTAGCCTGATTTGTGATTCTTGGCAAATCACTGAATCTCTATCAAGCCAGATTTTCTCTAAACCTAATTTGACAATATCTAATTTATAGAATAGTTGGTAAAAGTACAGTTTTGAGCCATTTTGTTTTTTAATGCGTTAGATACACTATTGTTAGTATAGTTGCACCTCTACACCCCATAGAAAGTTTGTGTAGTCGGTCATTTATTTAATAAATAGTATGCTTTAAATATGTGTATAGAAAGATAATGGAGAAAGGGAGAAATAGATGTTTTATATGTTGATGTTGTTATATTCCAGTCTCTAAAAATATCTTACAAATAAAGAAGCAAGAGAGAATAAACGTGAAGAATCCTGGGGAAACTTCTTTAATCATGGAGCTATGACCACTCCATTGCTAATGAAGTCTTTGATTACAGAAATACATCTGATATACCTTTCAGAATTACTGGGTATAAAATGGCATATCACAATTATTATTTTTCCCCTTTCCCATATTTGTTCACTAAATAAGATTTCATGTTGGATCGCTTTTAATTCTTTATTCCTTTTTGTTTTTAGGAGTTGTACAGATGTTCTGTGCTGCATAATCTTCATACTGTGCATTATTGGCTACATTATTTTAGGACTTTTGGGTGAGTAAATACGGGTATAGAAGATATGTAAAATTTGCTGATGAAGTAACTAAGTCAATGTCCCATTTTTAACATTAATCATTTTCTTCGCAAAGCCTTGTTATTATTGATTCTTGTCTTTTCTGGAGGGAATGTGCCTCACCAGTACTCATTGGGTAGCAGATTCAATGAATAATAAACACAAAGTAATTTATTCAAAGACAAACCCTAATTACTTAAGTAAGTACAATTATAAAGAAGGAAAAAAAAAGTTTATGGTTTCTTTTTAATCATTTTTACTTTTGAAATTCTGTTAAGCTGCTAATTATGTTCATGTTGCTGTTTACTAATATGTACTAAGACCTAGATTAGTTGAGATAATACATAAACTTTTCTTTTTATAAGCAAATTTAAAAGAAGGAACAATCATTAAGAATTTTACCACATAATTCATTGATGTTTAAGAAGTCTCATTGTCTTTGCCTACCAGAAAGAGATATTCTGTTGTTTACTGTTAGGTTAAAGATTTTTCTATGAAAGTGAAATAAAGAGGATAAATATACAAATTATTTACATTTTTAAAAAACTAGCAGAGGATAGTGAATATTTTCTGTAAAAAGTTTCACAATTGCATGTAAATATATCACTATTTCCCTTTGAGACTTAAGTCCTGCCCCTTAGATGCTGACTTAGGAAACTTTAATATATTATTATTAGAGCAGGGGCCAGAAAACTTCATTAATTCTAGTACCAATAATGAATGGCCTAGAGTTAGTGTGGATAGAATGCATAAGTAGCTGTGCCTACATTGGAAACAATGGAAAATGCTCTTCCCTGTTCTTCAGTTTTATCTCCCAATAAGGGAAATACTTTGAGAATAGCAATTAAAACTAATTTCCAAAAGATCATCTCAGTAATATTATGCAAAAGCTATACAGAATTGGAGAATTCAAAAAAGTAAGGCAGGAAGAAAAGTAGGGAGAGAAGAATAAAGGAGAATAAACCACAAAATTAAATAATGTTTTCTAAGACCTTCAGAAGATTCCTTGGTTATTTCTTCAGAGTATTTTAACTTGAAAACATTAAAGCCATTATAGCACAATACACAGTCTATAAATTGAATATTACAACATAAATTTCCTTACAGAATTAACAGAATTTTAGCTTCTCTAACTTTGGGACACATTTTTCTGATCTGATTTTTTTGGTTGTTTTTACTTTTTGTCATAGAATTGAAATTGGTTGCATAAGAGAAAGGAGTTGGAGCCAAGTTGATCTAGGGTTTGCTTGCATTATTTGGTGGACTTGGGTTGGTTTCTTAACCTCAATTTTCTCATCTGTGAAATATAGGAACACTACCTACTTTGCAGGGCTGTTGTGAGAAGTAAATGAAATGATATCCAGGCATACAAATAATAGTGCATAATACTGCTAGGCAGTATTTCATTTGCTGCCATTGTGTATTCTAGTTGTTCTGAATTTTAAGAAATTGTTTTTAAATTAATTTATTATATCATCTCTCTATGGCAACCCATAATTTTGGTTATTAAAGTTTGAACGCACACAGAAACTTCACAAGGATCTCTTAGTTTGCCTGGAATCTTTCCATCAGGGGATCTTCTGGCATAACAAATAAGTCTCCTCCATATCTCAGAGCCAGTGTGTTGTAATCCACAGAGAAATGTGTTCTGTCCTTATATAGAACTGGGAAAGCCACTGCCACTCTCTTGTTGACACAGTAGTGAAAAGGGATGGGAGTGAACACCGTCATTCCCTCTGGAGCAAAATAAGAATTTTGCTTCTTTAGGATCTCCGGATTTGGTTTATAAATACCTTAATTAATATAAATAAGTTGGAGAATAAATGTTCCTCAATGAAAAACTGTGTTCAATACTGGATTTAGTGATTCTTCCACATTAATCCTGATGCCACTGATTAAAACGAATGACTCACAAAATTTACTGAATATATATGTGTGTGTATTTATATACTTTCCTCATTCCTGAACCACAAATAGTCTAACTAGTCTAAGATAAACTTACCTCTTCAGTTATGTCTTATATTGGATTTAAAGGAAGAACGGCAGAAAACGATTAGCAGAGGTTACCAGGAATGTGAAAAATTTTTTGGCATGAAAGAATATATACCTTCACCTGAGGAAAGATGATGTTATCTCAGTCACACCAATATGTTATAAGTAGTGTGAAAATCAATAAAAGGAAATATTTTTTTAAAAATTTTAACTGATTTATTTTTGAGAGAGACAGAGTGTGAGTGGGAGAGGGGCAGAGAGAGGGAGATGCAGAATCTGAAGCACGCTCTAGGCTCTGAGCTAGCAGCACAAATGTGGGGCTTAAACTCATGAACGATTGAGATCATGATCTGAGCCCAAGTTGGCCACTTAACCGACTGAGCCACTGAATGCTCCAAGGAAATCTTGTTTAAGATGGAGTTGGGAGGCCAACAGAGGAGCTCTCATGCCTGCCACTCGTCATTGATTGCACAGCCAATGGGAAGAGAGGTACCCCCCAAGTCAGTAGGACTTTACTTATTTATTTTAAAAGAGGGGCGCCTGGGTGGCGCAGTCGGTTAAGCGTCCGACTTCAGCCAGGTCACGATCTCGCGGTCCGTGAGTTCGAGCCCCGCGTCGGGCTCTGGGCTGATGGCTCAGAGCCTGGAGCCTGTTTCCGATTCTGTGTCTCCCTCTCTCTCTGCCCCTCCCCCGTTCATGCTCTGTCTCTCTCTGTCCCAAAAATAAATAAACGTTGAAAAAAAAAAATTAAAAGATACAAGTGTTTTTATTTTATTTTTAAACTTTAATTCCAGTATAGTTAACATACAGTGTTATAGCAGTTTCAGATTTACAATACAGTGATTCAACAAGGTCAGTCCTGCTTTAGCTGCTACTTTACTATCCCTGCAGAAGGAAGAAAAGTCTCACCCCAGCAACAGCCCAGCCAATGAGAGACAGTCACAACTCAGCACATGAAAAGCCACTATACTTCAATTCCCAGGTTACTCCAGTTGAGTTTTTGATTATAATAGCCCTCTCAACTTCCTTTTTTGCCCTATTAAAGGAGTGTTCCTCTTCAGTTTTGTTGTAGCTTGCTCTGCTATTCCCAGGTAAACCTGTTTTTGCCGGTAAACCAACTGGCAGTTTTATTTTAAAGGTTAATAGTGGTTTGACATCTTTTGCCGTTTTGTTAGATCAGGACCTTCTAAGGCATATCTTCCATCCATTTCTTTTCATAAGAAGTTTTACCATGAAAGAGCCATGTTTCTCACAAATTCAGCTGAGGAAAAAAACAAAAAAACAACCTGTTCTTTGCCCTTTATGTGGAATATGGCCAGCTAGGTAACACTTGGATGCAACAAAGGCACTTGACATTCTGCTAATGAAAAGCAGAAGTGGAGTCTGGATAGAAGGTAATCACATCTCCTTGAAAGATCAAACTAATGTTTATGATAATAGCTCTCTTTTGTCCCACTTCACTGATGGTTGCTATTCAATTATTGTACTAGCTAGAAAAAAGAATTGGAATATTTATTATGCAAATTGTCCTTTGTTATCCTTGTGCTAACATTACGCAATAATAGCAGAATTTTAACATTTAATAAATTTTTCTTTTTCTTTTACTTCCTCTTTAAAAAAATTAATTCTAGTATAGTTAAAATACTAGTTTCAGGTGTACAATACAGTGATTCAATTCTATACATTACTTAGTGCTTATCAAGGGAAGTGTACTTTTAATCCCCTTCCCCTATTCCACCCACCTCCCCTCTGATAATCATCAGTTGTGTATAGTTAAAAGTCTGGTTGTTGGTTTTTTGGGTTTTTTTGTTTTTGTTTTTTTTGGTTTGTCTTTTTATTTTTCCTGTTTGTTTTTTTAAATTCCACATATGATCCAAATCATGGAATTTGTCATATTTCTTTTCTTTTCAAATGTATTTCCAGTTAAGTGTGTTAGTTCTTTGTGTTTACGTGGGATGCACCTGAAGTTAGGGTCCAAAGTTTGTGTTTGTTTTTGTTTTTCCGTCTTAGGGATAATTATCCCTGTTAGTTGAGATGCTAGGAAATTAACAAGAAAGTAAAATAATGTAAACAAGCCGAGAACTCTCGCCATGCTGTGAGAGGCCTAAACCACGTGGAGAAGCCCTGTGTAGGGAACTTGATCAGCAGGCTCAGCTGAGCTCCCAGAAATAGTGTTTGCCATCAGCTTCATAAGGTTTTCAGATGATTGAAGCCCCCGGCAACATGTGACTGCATGAAAGATCTCAAGAGCCCCAGCTGAGCCTTCCCCAGATTTCTAACTGCTGAAATCATGAGCAGAATAAAATGGTTGTATTAAGCTAGTGGGTTTAGGGGTGTAAAAACAGATAAGCAGAACAAAATTTTGTACCTGGAAGAGGGATGCTACTTAACAAAACCTAAAACATGGGCATTGGTTTTCAAACCAGGGCATGTTCAGAAACCCAATGGATTTTGAGGAAACTGTCAGAGTTCGAAGGAAAGTGAGAAAAATGCAATTAGAAACAGGAGAGAAGGGCACCTTGTGACATAGTGTTGAAAGTTTGGCAGCATTGCTGCTCCTGCTGCTGCAGATGGTAATGTGGGAGGCAAGAAATGTACCTAATGAATTCAGTGATCTAGCTAAAGATTGTGCTTAGGGGAACCACCAGCTCTGAAGAACATCATCCACACCTGGGCCTTACTTAGGTGATGAGATCCAGACCCTGAGCCTGATTCTTTAATTGGATGAGGCTTCTGAGGACCTTGGGAGAGTATAAACGGATTTGATTGTGGAGGGAATGTAAACAGTGTGTGGCCAGAGGCTGGACTATAGTAGTTTTAATACATGGCTGTGACTTCTTTGCCCCTCTTTCTGCCAAGAGGTATGTGCCTGTGTCTCTTTCCCTTGAATCTGGTAAAGCTTAGGATTGCTTCTTTAATAGAGAAATGAACTAAGCCAAGTAAGACTAGTTAAGGGCCTTGACATGCCGGTGATGTATAGATCATTGCA